TTTAATTTCCTTTAATATTTAGTCATGTAACTAATACTTATTAAACTTAATTTTAGCATGATTTAGTACTTTTAAATTATGATCATTTTCATTCTGACTTGTTAATTTGCAATATTTGTTTTACGCGATTTCATTATTATTATTTTTGTTGGATATTTTAGTGTCATTAATCATATCATATTGTGTTATATTTTTAAGAAACATCTTAGATAGTTGTATTTTGGTAGGACTAAAGAAATATTTGAAGTACAAGTAAATTATATGTTGTGTATGAATACTTTACTGGAAAAACCCGAAACAACCCGAAAAACCGAAAAACCCGAAAAAACCTGAGGTTGAAAAACCCGAGTTTTATTGGTTTGGTTTGGTTCATAAATTTAAAAATCCGACACAAATGGTTTGGTTTGATATTTGAAAAACCCGAACCAACCCGGCCGTGTACACCCCTATTTATAACTATATTATTAAATTAATGAGATAGTTTTAATAATTAATTTTGTTGATGATTAAAGAATTAACACTAAAATTAATAGTGAGCAATTTTTATCTCTTTTATAATTAGTCATATAATAATTAATGTGCAGAAGAAAGGAAAACCGAAAGAGTCGCACGATCATAGAGCAAGATTGAAAAGACCGAAATTTTTCCAGCATTGTAATTGTATATTATTGGTTAATTATCGTTAGTGGGTCTGTATGATGAATAGTGGAAAAATATTAAAGTATTGAAAGGTGAAAAGTTGATTGGTCAAATTGGGGGTAAGATAAAACAAGTAATGTTTGAAAGGTTAGGCTGCTGTAATAATTAGGGAAGTATATATGGGTGTAATTGGATAATGAATTAGAAGGATGATATGACAACTTGTGTATATGAAAATGGTGGGGATAAATTGCTGTGGGTTTGTCTGGGTAAGGACAGTAACATAATTGAGGAATAATTATGGCATAGAATTGGTCAAGAATTGAAAGTTAATATGTGGTGTAGGAAATTGTTACGTATTTGAGAAGAATGGATATGTACTACGTACAGTAATTAGATAAATATTGGTTGGTTGTTTTTGTTAGTGTTGATGTATTAAAAATTGTATGGAAAACGTGGTTAGTCATTCATGTGAGTTGTTGGCATTATTGTACGACTTCTTAATGACCAATTAATGAATGATTGACAATTGAGTTAGTTATTACCATCATATAGTAATAGATTGAAGTTGGCAACATACTCTAGTGAAGTGTAGTTTATACAATTGAATAGGTCAGGTTTTACTTATGGCATAGGTGTTATGAGTTAGCATGGTTCCTTCATCACCAGTTAGCTTCCATTTTTAATTAATATTATTTTATTATCATAATACAAGGTAAGTTGTAATATATTGAGATCTAGGTAATTAAATATTAGGTATATTATATTATTCGAATATCGTTAAAGTTATGCCAATTGGAGGAATTAAGACTTACCCTTAGGTTTGAACTTTAGGAAATAGATTATAGAATTAGGTGGGTCTAGGCTTAGACATAGAATAATATAAGTGTTTATAGACTCGTTAACTTACAAATTATGCATATATACTTGATAGATTGGAAAGGTTCGGAGGCATTGAGGAAAGGAAAAGTATTGGAGAAGTAGCTTGCTTGACTTTGGTTCTCCAATGGAGGTAGGTTATGGTTTATTTTATGTGATAGATAGATTCTTAATAGTGATTGATATTCATTGAGTGATATTGTGAATTTCTCTATGTACTTGGTT